GAGAGAACCAATAAAAAGACTTTTTGATTAAAAAAAAATCCGTTTTGTTGCGTGTGAATGTATCAGTCTGCCCAGTCAGTGCATCTTATCTGCTGGTGGACTGATCAGCCTCAGGGATACCTATGCTGGTGTGGTACCACAGATGTTTGTTTGATTGAGAAAACGACCATCTAAACGAACAGTGTCATGTAAAAAGGTAGATGTTCACCATCAGCCAGTGTTCTTCAACAACAGTACGACATGTTTGAGCAAGACTTTTGTAAAACGGGGACTGGTCTGGCTTGCCTTTAGTCTGAATATTTAGGCTACACTATGCAGGTCATAATGCTTAGATCAGTTTTGTTTTTTTTAAATTACTTCATAGTTGTAAACTATATTTTAAACAGTCTATAGCCCTGAGGTGACCAGCGTGCACAGGAGGCAACGTTCTATCACAGCATGCCATGTTTACACACATGCCAGGATGTGTTCATCAGCTCTAACAGTGTTGTGTAATCAAAGCCAACTAAATTATCTACAAAAGTGTGTGATAATCATACTGCCATTCCATTTTTTTAACCACATTTGGGCACTTGTACCTGCAGTGTGAACATACAGTTGAAACCAGAAGTTTACATACACTATTTAAAAAGACACCATGCTTTTTTTCCACACTGTCTGACGTGAAATCAGAATAAACTTTTCCTGTTTTAGGTCAGTTAGGATTAACAAAATATTTTCTATTTGTTAAATACCAGAATAATAAGTAATAATTTTTTAAGGCAATTTTTATTACTTTCTTCAAAGTCAAAAGTTTAAACACATTTCATTAGTATTTGGTACCATTGTCTTTTTAAACTGTGACTTGGGTCAAAGGTTTTGGATCTCCTTCCATGAGCTGCTCACAATAGTTGGCAGGAATTTTATCCCACTCCTCCTGACAGAACTGGTGGAACTGGGCCATGTTTGGAGGCTGCCTTGCTCGCACATGCCTTTTCAGCTTTGCCCATAAATTTTCAATAGGATTGAGATCTGGGCTTTGGCATGGCCACTCCAAAACTTTGACTTTGTCCTCCTTGAGCCACTCTGTAACCAGTTTGCCAGTATGCTTCAGGTCATTGTCCATTTAGAAGACCCATTTGTGCCCAAGCTTCAACTTTCTGATTGATGTCTTGAGATGTTGCTTCAGTATTTCCACATAATATTTCCTCATCATGATGCCATCTATTTTGTGAAGTGCACCAGTCCCTCCTGCAGTAAAACAACCCCACAACATAATGCTGCCACCCCCGTGTTTCACAGTCGGGATGGTGTTCTCAGGCTTTTTCCTCCAAACGTAACAATGGTCATTATGGCCAAACAGTTCAATTTTAGTTTCATCAGACCACAGGACATGTCTCCACAAATTAAGGTCTTTGTCCCGGTGTGCATTTGCAAACAATCTGGCTTTTTCATGTTTCTTTTGGCTTCTTCCTGCAGAGTGGCCTTTCAGCCCATGTCGACACAGTTTCATTGTGGATAATGACGCACTCTTACAGCTTCAGCCAGCATCTTCACCAGGTCTTTTGCTGTTGTTCTTGGGTTGATCTGCACATTTCAGACCAAAGCACGTTCATCTGTGGGACACAGAACCCGTCTCCTTCCTGAGCGGTATAATGCCTGGACATTCCCGTCTTGTTTGTACTTGTGTACAATTGTTTGTACAGATGAACGAGGCACCTTCAGGCAGCTGGACATGGCACCCGAGGATGCACCAGACTTATGCAAGTCCAAAACTCTCTTCCTGATATGTTGGCTGGTTTATTTCGACTTTCCCAGGATGTTCCACAATGAAGCAGTGTGTTTCAGGTGTTCCTTAAATTACATCCACAGGTGTGTCTCTAATTAGCTCAAATGTTATCAATAAACCTATCAGAAGCTTCCAAAGACATGACATCAAATGCCCCAAATTGTTTAAAAGGCATAGTAATCTTAGTGTATTTAAACTTTTGACTTTGAAGAAAGTAATAAAAATAGCCTTAAAAATTTTGCACTCTCTTTATTCTGGCATTTAACAAAAGGGGGAAATAAAAGGTAATCCTAATGGACCTAAAACAGGAAAAGTTTATTCTGATTTCACGTCAGACAGTGTGGAAAAAAATACACGTCTTTTAAAATAGTGTATGTAAACTTCTGGTTTCAACTGTATCTATAGATGCAGTTTACTCCTGTATTTAGCTCCCTCTGCAAGTAATCCGATAACTAAAGACAGATTTAATGTTTGAGAAGAGTCTCGGGTGGACTTTTCCGACTGATTTCACATCTGATAAGTATTCATAAGTATTTGACATAAAACTACTTCAAAATGACCAAATTATCCTTTTTAATGTCTTAGCAGGTAAACTCTTACCTTCCAGTTCACAGAAGGATCCTTCATCAGCTCTTCAAACCTCTGCTGAACCAACTTTTGAAACCCACTAGTTTCATACCGCTCATTTCCAAACTGACCTCTCAGAGCAGCCTCAGACGGGCTCAGCTTCAGGAACATGACGAGGTCGGGCTTCGGCAGGCCTACGTCAGGTTTCTTGCACCAGTTCATGCAGAAACCCTGAGGATGACAAGACATAAATTTGCTCAAAATCTTTAAAAATTCCTAAAAATGGTAAAAAGTTGACAAGAAAATAAATCTAAACAAAAACTCACAGGTTTAGCGCTGGTGAAAGCAGCTCCAGAGAAGGCGTACCTATCCACAACCAGAGTGATGCCCTGCTCCAGCTTCTTCTTTATTGTAGGCCTGTGGGTCACATCAAGTTTCATTATAGCTAACAGAGGTAAAAGATAATTAAAGCTATATTGAACTCAGTTTATCACAGAAATAATTCACAGTCGATCAAAGTTCACAATTTAAAATGCCTCTACTTAAGATGGTATTAAAATGAATAAATATGGGCAGCACGGTGGATCAGGTGGTAGAGCTGTCGCCTCTCAGAGAGAAGCTTGCCAGATGAAATCCTGAGCTGGGCTCATTCTGGGTGGAGTTTGCATCTTCTCCCTGTGCATGGGTGGGTTTTCTCTGGACACTCCCGTGTAACAGGCCCCAGTTTGGCACAGGTCAGAGTATCTTAGGTCAGACAGTACTTATAAAGCACCTTTCTAGAAAGCACTTTACAACACAGTCTGTGCCTCATTTATACATTCATACAGCACTCTACTAGATCTCTACAAAGACTAATCAGAGCTTTATCACATTCATGCACCGATGGGACACACATCAGAGGCTATGAGGGGTTCAGTGTCTTGCCCAGGGACACTTCAGCATGTGACTGCTGGTGGAATCAAAGCCCCAACTCTCGCGTTGGAGGACGACTGCTCTAACCACTCAGACACAGCCGCCCACCTATATACACAATATGGATAAATAAATCTGTAAACATAGAATTTTTTTATTTATCCAGGTAGTCTCACTGAGCCACGAGAACTCATTTTCAAGAGAGACCTGTTTAGGGAGCAAATGGGAGGTTAAGGGCCTTGCTCAAGGGCCCAGAGTGGGGCAAATGAGGGTGGAGGCAGGTGTGGGTGCTTCAACAACCACACCCACATTTTTGATGTTGTCGATACCGGGGCTTGAACCGGCGATCTTCCAATCACAGGCCCACCTTCTCTAATCTCTGCGCCACCACTCCCCAAAATGTCTGGAGATTTAAGTCATTCAGCTCTCACTTAATAAAAATGGACTGTACTTATAAAAAGCTTTTCTTTCTTATCAACATACACACTTACCCATTCACTCACACACACCAATTCATACATGCACCAAGCATGAAGTCAGAGGAATTGTCTGTAGACCTCCGAGACAGGATTGAAGAGAGGCACAAATCTGGGGAAGGACACAGAAACATTTCTGCTTCTTTGAAGGTCCCGTTGAGCTCAGTGGTCTCCATCGTTCATAAATGGAAGAAGTTTGGAACCATCAGGACTCTTCCTACAGCCGACCGTCTAAACTGAGCGAGCAGGAGTTTAAGTCAGGGAGGCGACCAAGAACCTGATGGAACTGTCAGAGCTACAACGTTCCTCTGTGGAGAGAGGAGAACTTTCCAGAAGGACAACCATCTCTGCAGCAATCCACCAATCAGGCAGAGTGGCCAGATGAAAGCCACTCATTAATAAAAGAAACATGGCAGCCTGTCTCTGGTCTGATGAGACAAAGATTGAACTCTTTGGAGGAAACCAGGCACCGCTCATCACCAGAACAACAGCATCCCTACAGTGAAGCATGGTGGTGGCAGCATCATGGTATGAGAATGCTTTTCAGCAGCAGGAACTGGCAGACTAGTCAGGATAGATGGAAAAATGAATGTAGCGATGTGCAGAGACATCCTGGTTGAAAACCTGCTCCAGAGAGCTCTGGACCTCAGACTGAGGCGACGGTTCATGTCAAGTATTCAAGGATTTTTATCATCATTCACATCACATGTTGTACATGAGGTGGAAGGAAACTATGTACATTAGGGTCCCAGTTTCATCCAACAAAAACACAAATTGTAAAGGAAAACATTAGTAAGATCTGAGACATGAACTAAGAATATACTACATTCACTAAACTAAGAATACACCAAGCACTAATAGAACAAAAACAATGTGCCAAAACAACAGCAGCACGAACATGAGTCTGTGTGAGCAGATGAGGACAAATGAACACAGCAACATGAAATAAATCATCAGCATAAGATCAGCAACATGGATAGTCAGCAGCACATAAACAACCAAGTGGCATTACATTGATTATCCTGGTTAGAAAATCATGAGTCTAACAGCCTCAGGGTAGAAGCTGTTCCTCAGTCTAGTGGTTCTACACTTAATGCTCTTTAACCTCCTGCCTGCGGGGAGTGGGACAAAAAGTGAGTGTGCTGGATGTGTGGGGTCCTTCATGATGCAGGTGGCCCTTTTCCTGCATCTTGAGGTGTAGATGTCTGTGATGGTGGGGAGACTGACTCCAACAGTCTTCTGTGCAGCCTTCACCACTCTCTGCAAAGCTTTTCTTTCTGCAGCTGTGCAGCCTCCATGACACACGTTGATGCTGGAGCACAGGATGCTCTCCACTGCACACCTGTAGAAGGAGGTGAGGACTGAGCTTCCCAGACCAGCTTGTTTCAGCCACATGAATAAGTAGAGTCTCTGATGAGCTTTCTTGATCAGGCTGGTGGTGTTGTTGCTCCAGCTCAGGTTGTCATTCAGGTGCACACCCAAGTACTTGTAGCTGGAGACCACTTCCACCACAGATCCACTTATGGTCAGGGGGGAAGAAGAGTCCACGACCATCTCCTTCATCTTCTTCACATTGATGTGAAGGTTGTTCTTCCTGCACCAGCTCTCTAGGTGTTCCACCTCCTGCCTGTAGCTGGACTCATTATTTTTGAAGCATCCAACGACCGCAGTATCATCTGCAAACTTTACAATATGACAGCCTGGATGGGTCGGTGTGCAATCATACGTTAGCAGAGTGAACAGGAGGGGGCTCAACACACAGCCCTGAGGGGAGCCAGTGCTGAGGGTTATGGTGTAGAAGTCGTGTATCTTCACAGATTGTGGTCTGTTGGTTAAGAAGTCTAGGACCCAGTTGCATAGAGAGGGGCTTAGTCCTAGTGAATAGTTTGTCCATCAGGATTTGGGGGATCATGGTATTGAAAGCAGATGTGAAGTCCACAAAGAGCTTACGGATGTAAGAGTCCTTCTGCTCCAGGTGGGTGAGAGCAGTGTGGACCACAGAGGAGATGGCATCTTCTGTTGATCGATTCTCGCGGTATGCATACTGTTGAGGGTCCACATTGATGTTGATGTTAGCTTTGATGTGTCATAACCAGTTTTTCAAAGCATTTAGCGACTATCGGGGTGAGGTCTTCTGGCCAATAGCCTTTCAGACCAGTCACTGTAGAGCTCCTTGGAATTGGAATAATGGTGGCAGTCTTGAGGCAGGTGGGAACTGTTGCCAGGGTGAGGGAAGAGTTAAATATATTGGTCATCACCTCACAGAGATGATCCGACACAGTTTTTCAGCACCCTCCCCAGGATGTTGTCCTTGTGAGGATTAATCCTCCTGAAATTACTCCTCACTTCTGCTGAGGTCACGCTGAGAAACGCTTATTCCAGTGATCAGGTAAGTGAATCTGGTGCTGGGTGGTCTGTTTGAGTCCCCAAAGCGTGCATAGAATCTGTTGAGAGCATCAGGCAGTGATGGATCCCTAGGGCATTATGCACCTCTGCCTTTATAATCTTTTATGCACTTAATGCCCCTTTTTTTAGCAGGACGACAACAGCACATGGACAAGATCTCAAAGGAGGGGCTTCACAACAACTCTGAAGGTCCTGGAGGGGCCAAGCCAGAGTCCAGACTTTAATCAGATTGACCATCTCTGGAGATATCTGAAAATGGTTGCACAGACGCCTCCCATCCAACCTGATGGAGCTTGACAAGTACTGCAAAGAAGAATGGGACAAACTGTCTAAAGATTGGTGTGCTCAGCTGGAAGCATCATATTCAAGACTGGAGGCTGTGATTGCTGCCACAAGTAGATCAACAAAGTATTAAACAAAAGCAGTGAATACTTATGTAAAATTAGTTTTAGTTTTCTATTATTAATAAATTGGCAAAAATCTAAAAAAACAAAAAGCTATTTTCACATTGTCATAATGGGGTGTGTGTAGAATTGAGGAAAGAGATTAATTTGGAATAAGGCTGTAACATTAAAAAAATGTGTAAAAAGCTAAGCACTGTGAACAGTTTCCAAATCAATCAATCAATCATCTTTATTTTACCAGGTAGAGCCCGTTGAGATCGAGATCTCTTTCACAAGGGTGACCTGGACAAATGCACCTTCTATATATTAATGACTACACAGTGTAACTAAAATCTGAATATATACTCAGTGGTTAATTTGAGCCGGATCCTGCCGGAACAAGATCCGGGAACTCCCTCATTTCGACCCGTTCTGTTCCGGCAACTCTTTGTTCGGATCCAGTAGCTCCGCCCCTAAAAGTCCAAAGTCATTGCGCATTTTTATTTTGAATATTTATTAAAAATATGAGAGGAGACGTTGCCTTTAGCCCGGCGGACCCAGTCTGTAGAGTGGATGTTACAGCTGCAGCACGCGAGGCGAACCAGGTGCAGCACGCGCCATTACGCACAAAGGTTCTGCACCGAGTCCCTCTCTCCTCCTCCTCTCCAAATATTGTCCCTGCTCAGCGGAGCTGCGCACTGAAAAACACCCCCTCTCCTCCTCTCAGACCCCCGAAACAGAAACGATCATTTATTCAACAGAATAAATAAATGCCCTGCAGACAGTGCACGTTACACAGTGCACGTTACGCACAGAAACGTATTTAAACAGCTCTACACAGCGTGCACAACATCAGCAGGTGGCTGAACTCCTGCTACATTTCAGATATAATAAATAAAACAAGCTTACTGTGAAGAATAAAATTAAAAATACAAAGACAGAAATGTTTGATGTGTTATGCACATTATGCGTCACGTTTCAAAACAACGGTGCTAATTTGTCAAAATAACAGCGATTAAAATGTCAAAACGACAGTCCAATTTACTTTAATTAAAAATGGATGGATGGATGGACTGGCCGACAACCGAGAATCGAAGCCTTCAGGTGCTTTGAACGGTGCCACGAGACGGGAGCAACAACCAGGACTGAATTCAGCAGAGAAGAGTTCAGCTCAGAACTGTGAAGGGAGGAGAGGGTTTAGGACACCTGACAGAATCAGAGCTGCACAACCTGCTGTTCTTCTCCTAAATAGTAATTTTATTGTCTACAAATGTAGGTAAATGTTAATGTATAACAACCTGTTAAAATACACCAAAATGCAGGAAATGGCATCTCTGTTGTTCAATTTTTTTCCAAGTTATCCAAGTCACAACACAGATGAATTGACAGAGTACTTCCAAGTCCCCTCTTCGCTCCGTGACAATTAATTAGAATAATTAAAGCGCTGCTGTACATGTCCAAGTTTCCAGTTAGGTGTCAGGTGAACGAGCAGGCACAAAGCCCTACTTTCACTAAAACACAACACATTTCCTCTTGTGTACGGGAAGTGGAACGCCCAGGTACGTTTATATATGAATGGAAGTGTGAGTCTTACACTAGTTCCCAGCGGTTAGCAGAAAACAGCAGGTGCACCGTGTGGTCCTCCAAGTCACTTTTCTTCTCCAGGTAGGAGCTGATCAACTGTCCAATTATTGTGGTTCTGTCTGCGTGGACACAGAGGCGTCATCTCAAGGTGAAACCACAAACATGAACATATCTAGACCCCGCAGGGCTAACAGTTTCTCATGTCAACTTATCTGCCATGTTGGCATATTAACCTTTATTTCTACAGGTTAGTCTCATTGAGCCTCGAGGACTCATTTACAAGAGACCGGTATTAAACAAAGAACACACATGAGGTACAGACAATCATGTAAAAAGCATATAAAATGAAAAGTAAATGGAAGAAATTAGATAAAAATGAAAGAAATAAAAAACAGCTACATTATGAAGCGATGTAAAAGACTAAAAACAGGAACACGTCTGCGTTGGGTTTTGTCATGTTGTTTAAAACCCATTAGAGGTCAAAGTAGACAAATTCAGATCTTTTTGCAAGGAATTTCAGGAAACAGGAGCCGAGTAAGAGAAGGCCCTATTGCCAAGCTAGGTCCGTACTGAGGGTACACTGCAGGTAATTATGTCTTGAGAGCGCACGCTGTAGCTGCACTGACAAAGTGACACGTAGATGTATGAAGGCAGCAGACCAAGAAATGATATAAAGATGAAAATGTACCAGTGAGAGAGTCTACGTGAAGTTAATGAAGACCAGTTAACCAGTAAGTACAGGGTACAGTGATGGACAGAGTAGTTACAGCCAGTTATGAATCTTAGAGCACCGTGACATGCAGCGTCCAACATCTGCAAGGTGCTTAAGTTGCAGAGTATTTATGTAAATAATGTCACCGTAGTCAATGGACGGAAGGAAAGTAGCAGTTACTGTACTTGCCACAGTACACGTCGCACCGCTGTATAAGTTGCACCCATTATGCATCACCACTGACAACCTGGAAATGTGGGCTGGTGTTGTGCCAACAATTGATTGGCTGCAAAATGGCAGCCACTGGCGCATGCATGGGAGGACTTTAACAAGATTACTTAAAAACAATTATTTGTTTGCTCAGAATTATAGCAAAGTTGCGTTTCAGTGTAACGTTTGCTTAATAAAATGACTTTAATGGTCAAATCAGCTGCATTTCAAAAGTATTCACTGCCTCGGTGCTCCGGGAGCACGCAGAGGGAGGGAAAAAATAAGGAGGAACTTCTGCTCGTTTCTTCAAAATTTAACAAGAAAAGCACCTAAAACAATTATTTGTTTGCTCAAAATTATAGCAAAGGTGTGTCTCAGTGTAACGTTTGCTTAATAAATGCACTTTAATGGTCAAATTAACTGCATTTCACCAGGGTGGTGCAGCGGTTTTCACTTGTTCCAAGCAGTGAGCAGAACGAAGGTGGGTACAGTATGACGAGCTGATTGTGTCATTAACAGCTGGTGAAGATTCTCAGTCATCCAGGACATGGTAAATTCAAAAAAGGTGAAGACAAAAAGAATAAAGTATAGTATAATATATAAAGTCCATTTATTTTTATCTTGAACTTTTTTGAATTTGTCATTATAGCCACATTTATCTATTACATGATACAATGGCATTCCATACACCACTGCTGCAATCTAGTGGCTGAAAGTGGTACTGCTCTTTTTTTTTTCCAGTCAGAATGAATGAAAACGATCATATCTCAGGCAAGAAATAGTTTATAAATATGGAAAAAAAAACAAATATGTCACTTCAGCCTATAAGTCGCAGGACATGCAAATTATGCAAAAAACTGTGACTTATAGGCTGAAAATACAGTAATTTGAACAACTCTGACCAACTGCAACAGTTGTTAGCACCACTTGAAGCTCCACATTTCCTCCCTCTGTACCTGGAGGTCCTGCAGCACTGAGGGACCTCCAGAACCTGCTCTGCCGTAGCAGACTGAGCACGAGCTGCGTGCCAAGCTCATTACATATATTATGCACACAGGCGGAAGAAAAAGTAGTTCCCACCAACTGCGTATCATTTAAACAAGATCTCAATAGTTTAATTACTTTCAACTATGTTCCTGTTAATGATATGCATTACCTTAAATTACTGCAGTATGAAAAGTATCAATAGTCAGATTTAAGAATCGATTCGAGATGACAAAGTCGTGGATCGATATTTCAGTATCGATCCTCACATCACGCGCAACACTGTATGAATGTATAGATAGACAGATGTTTGTGTCATATCCAATAGGGCGGACGTGATGACGTGCCACTGCGGAACCGAACTTTTAAAGTCATAACAATAGTATGCCACATGTTAGGCTTCAAGGTTCTTTAATATCATTCGCACCACATGTGGTACAAGAGGAGCGAATTAAATTTTGTCCTCAACGTCCCAGTTACACCCAAAAATAGTGTAAGCCTGGTCAGGTTACGGCATTTAAAAATACAGGATTCCTTGGATATATCCAGTGTTAGAAAAATCCGAGGTTACCTGAACGTAGCACACGCAGCACCGGAAGGTGCAGGCGGAGAGCTCAGTAGCTCGTGAAACGATCTGTGAACAGCTGTTAACTTGGAGAGCAGCATGTTTGTAGGAACATGGAGGTTCTCTACTCTCTCTTCTTCGTCTCCCGCTCGCACAGCCGGTGCTGCGGGTGGTGCGGGTGCTGCGTTCCTCGGACTTTTCTAACACTACTGATATATCCAAGGAATCCTGTATAAATGCTGTAACCTAACCAGGGTTACAACAGCAAAAATATAAAGTATAAAATATGCGTACACAAGGATCTAAGATATATATAATGTAATATAATGCAGTGTGCTTAGCCTTGTTAGAGTTATCTGGCCGGATTATTGAGCGCGCATCAGGATTACCATGTGTTCTTTTCGTTATAGAATGGGATCGCGACGACGCTGCAGAAACAAGCGTCCATACCAGCACTAGTTCCTCTGAACACCTTGATGAAGAAACGCTAACTGGTCTCACCTGGGAATCTCATGAGCTCGGCCGGACAGCCGCTCTGCTGCAGGGCTTGGACCAGTCTCTTGCACTGCGTCGTTTTTCCGGCCCGGTCCACTCCCTCCAGAACTATGAGAGCGCCTCTTTTCGATGCCATTGCCGACGACTGAAGATTGTCACTGTGGTGAAGGTATCTGGTAAGCAGTTCTGTAACTGCTCACAGTGGAAACAACCCGGACGAGACTTGGAACCAGAGATTTCCGCGGTCTTTGTGTCTCCTTCCAACGTAGACGCCTCTTTGAGCGGGCTCAGGCAGACCTGCTTATTTCTACGTCACAGCGTCCGCCATGTTGGATGTGGCAGATCTGCACGTCTCTTCTACAAAGTGTTTTCTGTGAATGACTCAATTTGGAAAACAAACATGCACCAAAGACAGCATTTGTAACTTTTAACGTGATTATTGAAACTGTTTACACTTTAAATGTTTAGATTATATGTAAGCACTAAACCATCATATGTATTCTTTGAGCGTTTACAATACTAATGTGTGTAATATTACTATTACTGTGGTGATAAATATAGAAATATTAATATTTAACATTTAATCTGTTCTAATAATCAGACCCTGAAATGTAGATGTGACGACATGTGGGCTTTCTGAATAAAGAGCACTAACGTTCACATTTATCTGAGTGTGATTAATCGTTTTTATATTCACATCGATGAACTATGTATAAATACATGATAATATTATTGTATATAAATGTACACACACACATAGCAACCTTTGATGAATAACAGAAGTTGTTAATTTATTTTGCATTTACAGTTTAATAAAAAGGCAATTTTATGACTGCACTATGCACTCATTTGATGTGACCCGTTGTATTTCCATTTATCGTGTATTCAAAGAAAAGTTTTACTTTTTGTTGCTTTTAGAACAACATTCAACTTCACAGTTAATCAGTAGCTAAAGTACTCACTCCACAGTATCCACAGTGCACTATTGGGACACAGTGTAATTTACAAAGGAAATAATACTATCTATTGTTAAAAACTCTGGAAACATTTTAGAATATATAACATTATACTATGTTACACTACATGGTGTACTATGCCATAATATGCAACACGAGCCACATTCTTGTAGAATAGCTACAGTGTGGAAAATGGCCGACACGTCTAAAGAGCCTTATATAAAACACTTTCAATGTTTCTTTTCATTCATTCAACCTTTATTTAGACAGATTAATCCCAATGAGCCTCAGGAACTCACTTACAAGAGAGACCTGAACTCAAGTTCTCATTTGTCCATTCAGACACACCGTTTTTTTTTTGTTTTTTTTTCTGAATCTGCTGGACTCCTGGCAGGGACCAATGCAGACATGTTCCTGTTTTTAGTTTTCTACATTTGCCTTAGAATCTAGCTGTTTTTTGTTACTTTTCTTTTTTTTTAGCCATCCCATTTATCCATCCATCCATCCATTTTCTTTACCCGTTTATTCCATTTTAGGTCACGGGGGTCGCCGGTGCCCATGTCCAGCAATCACTGTGCGAGGGGTGGGGTACACCCTGGACGGGTCGCAAGTCCATCACAGGGACACATAGAGACAAACGAGACAAACAACCATTCACTCTCTCACTCACACCTAGGGACAATTTAGAGTTACCAGTCAGTCTAACATGCATGTTTTTGGTCTGTGGGAGGAAACCGGAGTACCCGGAGAAAACCCACGCATGCACGGAGAGAACATGCAAACTCCACCCAGAAAGGCCCCTGGACCGGGGTTTGAACCAGGGACCTTCTCGCTGAGAGGCAGCAGCTCTACCAGTTGCGCTACCGTGCTGCCCGCCATCCCATTTATTAAATTTTTTTTTTTTTTTAATTGTATGACTTTTTATAACTGTTTATTGTTGTTGCTGTTGTCCATTGTTGTCATCTTTCTTTGTTGAAATCAGGTCTCTCTTGTAAATGAGTCTTCGAGGCTCAATGGGATTTACCTGTCTAAATAAAGGTTGAATGAAAAAAGCAATGTACACAGTATCCTGTATCAATAATCAGGTAGAAAAATCTAAAAAAGTTAAGTCTGGTCCTGGACGGTTCAAAAAAACTATCTTTGCGAAAAGAAATTGTCCATCATTAAACAGGGGTGGAGGCCTCCGGGTTCAACTGTCCCCCTCTTACAATGCTGTGATTGCTAGTGTAGTGAACTAAGCCTCAGGTCAAGTCCTGACCCTGAGGGCCTTCCTGGAACAGGAACTGTCATTTCATTGATTTGAGTCCAGAAATACAAATTAAGCTCATCCAGAGACTTTCTAAGTGTGTCCTGCTCTGATCAATTGAAAGAACACTCTCTTTTTATTATCATTACTATTTTACAATATCTTGATAATCGAAGTGTGTTTAGTTCAAACCATTTTTAAATGTTGAAGTGAACTACTCATTTTAAATCAACTGTGAAACAGTATAAATGATTTTTTAATCCTCATTCAAAGTAGAAATCAAGTTAATGTCTGTTACAGAGTAATTATTCATTTTCTTGATCTTCTGTCTGAAATGAGCAAGTTGTGATGTCGGCCAAAAGTCGGAGACAAACGCAAACAAGTTTGTTGGAACGAACTGTCATGTTTTTAAATCCTCTCAGACGTAAATAGAGAAGCTGGCACCTGTTTCCTCCCATCTCGCCTAAACATTTCTCTGTCTGTTTCAAAAACATTTCTCTGTCTGTTCCAAAAACATTTTTCTGTCTGTTCCAAAACATCTCACTGTTTTTCTGACTTCTAGTGACCTCTTACGTCACTAAAACCACACCCCTGTTGGCTCTTTCAGCCAATCAGGACTTCCCAAATGAACCGGAAACAGAACTCTTTAAATGTCGACACTTCCTAGTTCCAACCAGTGCAGTTCGGAGAGCAGAGCCGAACAGAAAAGTTGCTGGAGAGAACAAGAAGTTCCAGACATGATCCGAAGTTCTTCCGAGTCTCGTGGGGATTATGGAATCTTCCACATCTGAGTGGAACCTCTGACGGACTCACAGCTCATGTGAGTCCACCCGTGAGGTGAGCGTGCTGTTGAACGAAGTACTGTCACTACTCCGGACGGTTCTCTGCTATCCTACGGAGACGCTGAAATGGTAACGCTGAAAGAGACCCCTACACCGAAGCTGAGATATCTTCTGCAAGGTAAAAGAGTCGATTTCCACTACCGAAGTGTACCGAGGTAGAGCTGGGTTCGAATGGAGGGTGCCGTTCTTCGTCGACACATTTTCCCTCACACATCTTTTCTCTCCATTTAAACTCCTTCATTTCCCATCTTTAAAACTCTTCTATCTTGCCACTAAATCATCCAGATATTTTCATAAATGTCTGTTGTAATTAGTTGCAAGTGAGATACCATGGCCGTATGGTTCTCATTGTAAAGCTCATTAATTAAGATGTGTTATCGCATACAATCAGAATAATCACGTGTACAATGTTTGATGTTAAATTTTGATTCTGTTAATAAATGACCACATTCATTTTGATGGGTCAAAGAAAATTAACGTCTCACGTCACTGATTAAACCATCTCCCACACAGTATCTCTGTCACATATCTGTCAAGTAGCTCGAAAAAGAGAGAATCCGTTTAAATTAAGTATAATATCAGGTACTTGAACTAGTCCAGATATTATAACGTGTAGTGGAGCTCCGAAGCTAAACGAAGCTAACCGACCTATCTCACTACACTAGTATCACTCAGCCCTCTGTGAACAGTAAACAGCCATCAGTGTGCTAATGATCCATTGTTAGGCTGATGGTCCTTCTTGAGCATGTGAGCAGCTGGTTTTGGTTGTCAGCAGCAAACTGGTTGATCCACTCTGAGAAGGTGCTATTTAAGAGACTGAGCTGAATACAGCACCTCAGACTGAAGAAGTCTCTCGGATGAGAGACAAAACGTTTCTACATTTTTTGTTGTTTTGCTTTGTTTTGTTTTTTTTGAATGTCCAGAGGACCAGACTTAACTTTTTTAGAATGTACACAGTACATTTGTATATGTCGTAAACAGCAGGAAGTAAGTCTAGCTTGAGGGCACTTCAGCTGCAGGAGCAGGGGATTGGACCCTCATTCATTTGACTGCAGGACAACCTCTTTACCCCTCACTGCTTTAAACTATGGTAGGCTTTGCAGGGTGGATGTTTCTTGAAGTTTTATCTTATTTATGTTTTAATTAATTTAGTTTTAGCCTTACAATATTGTTGCAAATAATAAACAGAAAAATTTCATTTCCTGTGAAAATGTGGTGTGAATGCTTATTGCTGAAGAACGTGCTGAAAAACGTCGCACTCGGACCATTAACCACTTCACTGCCACACGTTTCACAGATGTTCATAACTCTGAAATGATAATTCAGCCCCCAGTGTTTCTCTCCATCACTGAGGAGCTGACATCCCAGTTCAACTCTGTCTGCTTAAAGACTCTGGATCATGTTGCACCTGTTAAAACCAAAAAATCAAAACTCAGAGCAGAACCTTGGCTGAGTGACGTCACCAAGGCCGTTAGGCAGCAATGTAGGAGGGCGGAACGAAAGTGGAGGAAAGACAGGCTGCAGGTCTCTTTCCAGATACTTAAAGAGAGTTGGCGCCGTTATCAGAAAGCAGTGAAAGCTGCTAAATCAAAATTCTTCTCTGATATAATTACCTCAAACTCTCACAACCCACGTGTCCTCTTCTCCACCCTAAACTCTGTTCTCCACCTCACTGAACCATCACCTCTGGAAGCCTCGACTGAGCTGTGCGACAACTTCTTACATTTCTTTGTGGAAAAAATTGCGACCACCCGGGCTCTCATTTCCCCTCCAACTCATGACCCATCCATCCCACCTCAATCTGTAGCTCCATTTGACCATTTTGAACCCATCACTCTATCTTCTCTAGAGCAGGTCATGTGAAGCTTGAAACCTTCTGGTTCCCGCTTTGATGTGGTCCCCCCTCGACTACTAAAGGAGGTTTTTCCCACTCTAGGTCCGTCCATTCTTGATATAGTAAACAGTAGTTTATCCACTGGCGTGGTGCCAAAAACCTTTAAACATGCTGCTGTCCAGCCTCTCCTGAAAAAAACAAACCTTGACCCCTCAGTTGTTTCCAACTACCGGCCTGTCTCCAAACTCCCATTTGTTTCTAAAGTACTGGAGAAAATAGTCGAGTCCCAGTTGAAGTGCTTCCTGGAGGATCACGCCATCTTAGAGCTTTTCCAATCTGGCTTTAAACCTCTCCACAGCACTGAAACTGCCCTGCTGAAGGTCTTTAACGACATCTTCAGATCCACAGATACAGGTGATTCTGTGCTGCTTGTCCTGTTGGACCTCACAGCTGCTTTTGACACCATCGACCATGAGATCCTCATTGCTAGGTTGGAGCAGTGGGTGGGCGTCACAGGATCAGCCCTCAATTGGTTCAGATCTTACCTCGCTGACAGATCCTTTTGTGTCTCCATCAAGGATTTTAGTTCTGAAGAGGCAGAGCTTAAATGGGGGGTTCCGCAGGGGTCCATACTGGGTCCCCTCCTATTCTCTTTATACCTGCTGCCGCTTGGTGCTATTTTCCGGAAACACAACATGCCCTTCCACTTCTATGCCAATGACTGTCAAATTTACTTCCCACTAAGACACAATGGTACATGCTCTATTCAACATCAGGGACTGGATGGCTTTAAACTTCTTAAGTTTCAATGAAAAGAAGTCTGAAGTCATGTTGTTCCCTCCCAATGACACAATCACAAACCACTGCATCGACCTTTCCGCTCTAACCCTGTCAGAAAAACAAAGAGTCACTAATCTGGGAGTGATAATGGACCCTTCCCTGAAACTTAACAGTCATGTAAACATGATTGTTAAATCAGGTTTCTTCCAACTGAGGCGGCTGTCTAAACTGAAGCCCATGTTGTCCAAAAATAACCTGGAGACAGTAATACATGCATTCATTACATCTAGGCTTGATTACTGCAATTCACTCCTGTTTGGTATCAGTCAGACCTCCATTGCCCAACTACAACTGGTCCAGAATGCAGCAGCCCGATTTTTAACCAGTACAGGCAAAAGAGAGCATATTACACCAGTTTTGGCCTCACTGCACTGGTTATCGGTTCACTTTCGAATCCAGTTCAAAATACTCATGTATGTCTACAAATCACTGAACAGTGTCGTTCCCCCCCCCCCCCCCCATCTCTCTGATTTGCTACAACCGTATGTCCCACCACGCTCCCTGAGGTCAGTGGACCAGTTGCTCCTCACAGTTCCAGGAACTCGTCTTAAGCGCAGAGGTGACAGGGCCTTCTCTGTAGCAGGACCAAGACTCTGGAACGAGTTACCTCTGCTGGTCAGACTGGCCACCTCCCTCTCGGTTTTCAAGACCCGTTTAAAAACTCACTACTATTCAGTAGCTTTCAACACCAGATGATCTGTGTTTTGATCCTGTATTCTCCACACTGGTTTGTCGTCATTATCTGCATCGTTTTTTTGTCTATATTCTGATTTACCTCATTTTGTATTTTGCTTAGTGTGTTACCTGTTTTTTTTGTATGTACAGCACTTTGGTTGGCCTTGTTGCTGTTTTAAGTGCTTTACAAATAAAGTGGTATGGTATGGTATGGTAAAAACATCTGAAATTAGCTAAAAAAAACATGCTGAATTGTAGCTGAAAAGGAAGAACAAGCCTAAATAAGCAGAGAGAAAACATGTTTGCTGAATTTGGTTTAAAGCAGCAGAAATTGGGACAAAAGTTAAGAAATTAGCTAAAACTGCTGAAATCAGAAAAAAATAGCTGAAAAGGCGGAAAGAAGCTTAAACTACCAGAAGGAAGATCGAAATGAGCTCCAAAACGGTGGAATTATCTGAAAAAGCTAAAATTAGCACAAAAACAGCTAAATAGTAACTGAAATGTCAGATAAAGCAGAAATTAGCTGAAAAAGGCTGAAAGGAGCATAATAAGCTTAAATTACCATAAAGATGTTCATTAAGATGAAAGTAGCAAAAATTACCATGAAAAACTTAAATTTATCATAAACAGCTGAAATTAGCTAAAAAAAAAATGCTAACAAGGTAGCTGAAAAGGTAGAACAAGCCTAAACTAGCAGAAGAAAGCAGAAAGAACATGTTTGCCCAGTTAGGCTGAAAGAAGCAGAAATGAGCACAGCACAATGGAAATTATCTGAAAAAAACATTAAATTATCAACAACAAACAGCTGAAAGTAGCTAAAAAGGCAGAAAGAAGCTTAAACTACCAGAAGAACAGGGAGAGAGCACAGTTTTACTCAGTTAGGCTGAAAAACGTATAAATGAGTGCAAAAAATGTGGAATTATCTGAAAAAGCTAAAATTGGCATAAAACAGCTAAATAATTGCTTAAATAGCAGAATAGGCTGAAACTTGCAGAAATACTTTGTAAGTTGAAGGGAACACAATAAGCTGAAATTAACAGAAAGAAGTTAGAAACAGCACAGAAATGTCGTCGTTAGCAGAAAGAATCTTAAAGGAGCACAAAACAGCAGACATTAGCTGAAAGTAGATGATTTGTTTAAAATTTGCACAAGGAAGCTGAAAGAAGCTGAAGCAGAACAAAATGTGGAAGGAGCAGTTAAAGGTTGTAAACACATCTAAAGATGTGAAGGATGTAAAATGAGCTCAATTCATTTTCTATGAGAAAAAAATGTCAGAAAAGGCTAAATATTTCAAAACGCTAAAGTTGCACCAATACCAAAAGTCACAGCAGGATTGTCCTGAAAGAGCCGAATGTTTTGATTTATGAGTTGTTGAAATAGCACAAAAGTTGTAGAACAATAAAGATGCTGTAAAACGTACAGAAGAAAACTGGATGACAGAACGCTTCATGAACGCAGTGATTTATTTGCTACACGGAGTCGTTGAAATGACACAAACACCTGTGTGAGCAGCAACGTTACACTTTGCTCCTGTGGCAGTGTTTCAGAGCGTCTCTCAGCGCTGCCAGCACCATGTCAACATTAGCCTTGCTGCTGTTGACCCCCATCAGTCCCACACGCAGCACCTGCAGAGACCACACACCGACGTCTTAGTTCGCACACGCACAAAAACTGTTCACCAGACTGTTCACCAGTTTCTCTCACCAAACCAACTGATGGTCCCAGCCCTCCAGAAATCTCCAAGTTGTGTGTTTTCATGATGTAGCTGGTGATTTCTTTCCAGTCATACCCATGTGGAGCAACAACTGTGGTGACCGTGGGCAGCCGTGCATGCTGCAAATGTAAACCATGAATGGATGATACGTTCCCTACATTTTATTTTTTTATTTTTACAAATAAAGTGGTCTTTTCAAAGCTTACTTTTTCTTTGACAAAAAGCTTGAGACCCATGCTCTCCAGGCCGGCATGGAAATATTCTGCCGCCTTTTGATGTCGTTCCCATGAGTTCTCCAGACCCTAGAACACAGCAGCATTAAAAACAAATTAAATATTATATAACAGTTCCCTGTTTTCTTGTTATACTTTCAGATCATTGACAAAACCCTAAACTCATGTAACTCTATGTTAACATGCTGACTACAGATTAATTTATATCCCAACAGGCATGTCTTGATTAAATTTGAAGTTCTAGTGAGTTAAAACTTAGGTCCTGTTTACACGAGAACAACCTGTGGGAACGTGGAGTGAATAAACAAAAAAGAGCCTGTTTGCACAGATCCACTGTAGTTTCCATGCCAGGTAGGGTTGTTAGATAAGAAATGTTGAATTATTGTACAGCCACGTTAAAGTTATTGTATTTTCACCCAAACTGTCACATGCACTGAGTGAGGGTGTTGGAAGTGGATGTTTGGTGATGTGCACGAGGTAAAAAAATATATATATTCATGTTTATCTGGCAACCCCGATGGGCTCAGCTGAATGCATCACACTTCCAGTGTCTGCATGATCACAGTTACATCTAAACTAGTGAATACACAAACATTCCTTTGGACCTAGGGTGTTGTTGGTTTTGCTCCTACATAATGAAAAAAGCTGCTCTTAGTTAGTGGAGAAAAACTTCTGACTGCAGCCGCCTGTACTGTGCATGTGTGATTTCACACCTATATGGGCGTTTCTGACGACCTCCACTCTGAGACCTGGATTAGTCAGTCAGTTTCAGAGAGCGAGGGCTGTTGTCATCTGCACAAACAGCCCAGCTGCAGCGGAAAAGTCCCGGTTCACTAAGAAACTTGTCGTGTGAACAGGACCTCAGGTCTAACAATAGTCATTTTGTGTAACAATATTATTTCTACAGACTTTAATGGTTAACTGCACTGGACTGCTGAAGTTCCAGTTAGAGTAACCCATCTGATTCCAGTGCACATCTCACCTCTTCTGCAAGGACAGCCAGACTCTCCCTCAGAGAGTAGAAAGCAGTCACTGGACCTGTGTGGTGGTATCTATCAACAGATAAAAAGACAAACCTCAGTAAAAAGATCTTTGTGTGTGCCACATCAATATTTGTTTAAAAATGGAGGTTAAAAAAAAAACATGTCTCACACTCTTGATGGCTTGTCATCACATCCCCAGTAGTTTGCAAGCCAACTCAAATCCAGGAAGAATGACATGGGTTTGGTTGTACGACTGAATACTTTTTGGCTGTGGACAGATTCAGCCTTAAATACACATCTTTATATTTCTTTCAGGACCATGTACACAGTGCAGTATTCAGCTCTCACCATGCTCTCTCACTGAAAGAAATGGGTGCTGTACCCGGTGGGGCGTTCAGAACCTTCTGGGAGCCTGTATACAGGATGTCAATCCCTGCAGAACAACAGCAACATGTCAAAATATTCATTTATCACAAAACAAACGTGTTTTCATCAGATGCACCACAGAGACTGGAAACATCTTGGCTGGAAACCTTGCTGGTCCATGTGGAGTGGGACCCCTCCTATTGAAGCCACAGAGTCAACGAGAAACAGGCAGTTGTACCTGCAGAGACGATCAGAAGCAACAACCTGCAATCATCTGTGAGCTCCAGCACCGATGACAGCACGGTATGATGAGTCTTACTTGTGGCACAGCTCCCCGATGCCGTCTAAAGGATGCAAGACCCCCGTGGAAGATTCTCCGTGTGCAAGGAAGAAGAGCACAGGTCTGTGTCGTGATAAAGCCTGTGGTGAGGTCACAGGATCACTGAACTGCAGCTGCAGCTGGCATTCGTTTCATGAGCCTGAAAACTGAGGATTACCTTCTCAATGTCAGCGTTGGTCACGCAGCCGCCAGGGGGCGCCACAACAGTATGCACTGTGGCACCTGTAGGGTTAACAGCACTTGATCAGTTCTTGATTTTTGTCCTCATTAATCTCTCATGAACCACTGGACCAAATTTAGGGAAACCCTCAAGAAGGAATTGCTGTGTGACTGTTTTTAAAAGTGATTTATTTTGGTGCAAACCCGATCCAAGCACTCGAGAAAACTCTAAGATAAATTTAATTCTATCAGTTTTACAGGTATTATGCTAAAACCAGGTGTGGTAGTAGATGAAAGTCCTTCCCAACACGGACCCTAAATGCTACTTATTGCACCAGATCTTAGCTTAAAGGTTCAGCAATCACTATTTGTCAACCCTGCTCGTCTGTTAGCAAAATATCTCATGAACCAAAGGGCAGATTTTAATGACTCTCTCGAGGAATAATCACTGGATGCACATCTACAACTGATCAACTTTTAGAGCCAGTCAAATTCAAGATGGCTGCCACAGCTAATCAAGACTAACAAAACTCAAAAATGGCTGTAACTTTGTCAATTTTACACTGTGCTAAAATTTGCAATGGCAGCTCTGAGAGTCATTTGCAGCACATATTCTAAGCCTGAGAGTTTGTGTTACGTTATTTTCAAGGTTTGACCACAAATCCACTGTTTCTCCATGTCAAATTTACTTTAACATAGCCCAGTTTTATTCTTCTGTGCTTTTAGAAAATTATGATTATTTTGATCTAAATGTCATATTTTGATTTGAAAGCCGCACCAATCCTCTCTGCCATGTCTGCTGCTCGTTCTCCCCAGATCCCATTGACTGCCACCAGCACGCTGTCCCCCGGCTCCACCGTGTTGAAGATGGCACACTCCATGGCAGAGTGGCCGGTGCCACTCACAGCCAACGTTGTCCTGTTCTGGGTCTGGAACAAGTACCGGAGGCCACTCTTGATGTCATTCATTATCTGTGACGTCAAACGAACTGGATTAATGAAATGTGATGTAGCCTTTATCTGCTAATTCATTTAGAAGATTCAAAGTTAGCTTCAAACTGTGTAATATTGTTATTTTATCACGACTAGAAACTGAAGTTTTATTTTTCCTATTCTAAAAATGCCAATTTTTTCTTTTAAGATTTAACATTTTAAATGAGAATGTTTATTTCTTAGTCTTAACTGATTTTGACACAAATCTGCAGAAATTATTTAATTCATAATTATCTGATAGATTCCAGTTTGTAAATGTAAATACCGTATTTTTTGGACTGTAAGGCTCAATATCAATGAACGGGTCTGTTTTCATACATAAGGCGCACCCGATTATAAGGCTCACTGTCGATTTTTGAGACAATTAAAGGATTTTAAGTGCACCTTATGGTCTGAAAAATACGGCAATGAATCTTCTTCATACTCCAGAGTTAGTCATGGAGTTCCTCAGGGTTCAGTGCTTGGACCCATACTCTTTACTTTATATATGCTTCCATTAATCAGGGGTGTCAAACTCACATACAAAAGAGGGCCAAAATTAAAACCTTTTTCAAAGTAAGGGCCAATTTCAGAAACTACATAAACTCAAGTTAAATACCCAACCTCTTTTCTTGGTCACAGGTTCCTGAACAAGAGTTTGACTGGTCTCATTTGATGTTCTCTGTTGTGCTTTTGACATCATAATCAAAGATTACGGAAAAAAATCAAGAGATAAAAGTATTTTATATTTAAAATAACATCTTGGGAGCCAGATAAGATGTCAGCGAGGGCCACCTTTGGCCCCCGGGCCTTGAATTTGACACATATGATATAGGTAAATTTATTAAACATTATGGGACACATTTAGTCGAAGGCTGAAGAAGTCTTTTGGATAAAAGACGAAACATTTCAACAATAATAATTCATCCAGAGGACCTGACTTGACCTTGTTAGATTTATCTACCTGGATTATTGAGCATGAATCAGGATCATTACTCATACAATTTCTCAGTCATATTATGGTTATGGTTCCAAGAAAAGTATATCCTCTTTTACTTCTAAGATTTTATTGATCAGAACTGGCCCATACTGTATCATCATACATCCACCACTGTGCTTGACAGTTGCTGTAAGGAGTTTGTGTCAATTTCAAATAATTTTATCATGGTGACATAATGCCACTTAAGCCTTATTTAAGTCAAAATAATTATTTCTGAAGATGTTTTATTTAATTAAATATATGTTAAGTAGTGCTCAGTTTATCTAAAAAAGTTAAATCTGGTCCTCAGGACTTTCAAAAAAACCCATATCACC